TGTGTCCTTGCTTTGCTCCCAGCCTTGAAGGGTCCCAACGCACAGCAGCACGTTGAAGCCTCCCAGAAGCCTTATAGTAAAGCAACGTGCTTGCCTTGGCTTAACTAAGCATGTCCCAGGCTATTCGACCTTGGAACCTTTTTGATGCCAAATATCTACCAACCCATTCAACCCATTTGGGGAAATGCCTGTTATCTCCTCACTGTCCTTCCAACACGCCAGCTTAACTCCCACCCCCGGGCCTTTGTACCTGCTGCCCCCTCCAGAACAGCCCCGAGTGTTTCCTTCAGTATCCACGGGGCTCCTCCTCGCTATCTCAGGTTTATTCTCAGACGCTGCCTTCCAGCTCTGCCTTCCCTGGCCTATTTAAAATTATACTATTTAAAATCCCTATTTAAAATTATACTCCCTAGCGTTTCCTGGGCTGTTTCCTGCTGTTTTTCTCTGAAGCACTACACCTCTTTCTTTTGGGTTTGTCAGCCCCAGAAGAATGTAAAGAATTTTTGCCTGATTCATTTACTGGTCTCTCCCTAGCACATAGTAGGTGCTCAATAACTGTTCAGTTGAACATATGAATGTGTCTTAGGGAGAGTATGGAAGTGACAATCACAGGGTTTGGAACCAGAGAGAGGCAGACTGAACTCTAGGCTCTCACTGCTGTGGACCCCGTAGGTCCCCTTCCCTCTGTAAAGCAGGGTGCTTCCCTCATAAAGTCCTCGGCAGGACTGAATGAAATGCCACATGAAAATCCCTGGCAAGCACTTGGCCCCGTGGAAACCCTTGATAAATATCACTATTATCTTCACCAATGAAATGCAAGCCCTTCCTGCCGCAGGAATGCGGGTGAACAGACGCCAGCCTGGGTGTGAATAAGAAGTGTGAGGTTCACACGAGGCTGACGGGGGCAGCCTTGCTCTCCCCTGTGTTCCCAGCCTTGCTTTGGCCACACAGATACTTTCTGAAAGGGGGTTTGGGGAGAGGCCAAGGAGACTCACCCGCCCCCATTCCACAGACGGCAAAATGGAACCCATTCTCCCGACTTCCCAAAGCTGCGACCAGTCCGGGATGTGCAGCGGGGCCTTCTGACAGCCCACCCAGCTCAGATCTCAGCCACTGCTAAGATGCTCTTGGGATCCAGAACTTTTCTGGGCCTGACTCCCCTGGGTCTACCTGCTACCCCTGGTCCTGGCTCCAGTGGCCTGTGCCTTGGCCAACACCCTCAGCCCACACCCCCACTACTATACCTTGAGCTGAAAGAAATAGTCCTCGACCTGCTCCTCATTCAAGTTCAGCTTGGCAGCCACCAGTTGCTTCAGGGTGTGGGCCACATCCCAGGCCATGCGCACATCCCCGCAAACATAGAGGTGGCCCGGCTCCTCGTGGAGTACACGGAGCACCTCGCTGGCCAGCTGCTGCCGCAGGATGTCCTGAACATAGACCTGAAACCAGACGAAGTGGTGGGTCCAGTCCCCAGCTGCTGGGGACAAGGCTTGCAAGCAGGCCTGCTGGCCTCAGGGAGGTGGGGAGAGGGCACTCAAGCGTGCGGAGTGAGTCCCCTCCCAGCCAAGACCTTGCACGGGGCCAGGCTCAGGATGAGGAGGAGCACAGATGCCCTGGGGGCTGGGCTGAGAGTAGAGAGATAAATGCTGGACACAGTCCTGCCCTCGAGGAGCTGACCATGCAGTGGGGCTCCCAGACTGTCCCTGAATTTGCCATGCTTCAAAGAGGCATCAATAAAGGCAGTCCCCCCACCCAGGGCTCTATCTGTACTCCAGAAAAGGTAGCCTGTCAATGCAGATTGTCCATCAGGTCTCTGCAGGGTACGGATCCCGGGCTCCCCAGTGAGAAGGTCCAGGAGTCAGTTGAGGACTCTCTCCTCCTACTCCACACGGGCTGCCCACTGGCCCCAGCATTGGGCACAGAGCACTGGACCCGAGAGGTGCCCTGATGGGACAAGTGCGTGAGGGCTGAGAGTCTATTCTGACACCCCAGGCTTAGGAGACAAAGAGGCCCTGGGGGCAGCAAAGCCCGTCTGAGGAACGTGGTGGAAGCATCGGCCGCCCTCCAGCCTTTCTGGGCTTGAGCATAGCCAGCCTGGATCACCTCTCCCCGGGCAGTTGTGTGTCCCGGGGGCCTGCTGGGGACTTCAGCAGACTGGACTCTGGGGTTAACTCGCGTGTGACCTAGGTTAGTCCTGGACCTCTCCGGGCCTGTTGCTTATGCTGTATGACAGGGCGTAACGCTCTTCACAGCATCACTCTGATGGTTGTGAACTACCTGCATTTTAGAGCTCAGGAGCTGAAGGCTCAGGGAGGCGAGAGGCCCTTGTGGACCCAGGGCTCACCCTGGAGCCTGTGCCTGTAATGCTTCACCTGCTTTTAGGTTGCATTTACCTTGGGCTTGCCAGGCAGGCGGGAATAGACGTGTGCACCGCATGCAGCACCCGCTTCCGGGTCATCTCCAGCATCTCCTCGCGGTAGGTGGCGGTCCTCATCTGGGCGGCAGCACCAGAAGACCAGGGTCCTGCGGCCTCCCTGCACTACTACCAGGAGTCCCGGGTTGTTGTTATCAAGTTGGCCACCAGAGGGCGCCAGAGCGTCAAGTCCAACTGGAATTCTCACTTCACTCCCACAAGTATCCTAGCTAATTAATAGCATTAGCCCCATTTTACAGATGAGGAAACTGAGGCCCAAGGCATTCGGATCACTCATCCATAGTTACACAACTGAAAGTGCGGATGTAGAATTCCCTCAGCCCATCAGAGGTCAAAAGCAGGGACTTTCCCGTTACCTCCACTCCCGGGAGAGGGAGCCCCGGCTCCAATGCCGGAGACCGGACGGTGGCCGCTCTCACCCACAGAGGCCCGCATAGGGAGGCAAACTTGGGAGTCCTTCCCTTCAGAGACGTACAGGAACCGTTTGTGGGGCTGCAGTTCTGCTTCTGGGCAGGCACTGCCGCCTGGTGCCCCTCCCACCTGGGAAGCCTCCAGCCTTACCCTTGTGCTGGGAGTCATGTAGCCGCTGCTGCCAGAAACTGCGGAATGGGGCGATGCCTGTGCCAGGCCTGACCAGGATGCAAGGATGGGAGGGGTGCTCGGGGAGCTGAAGAAGACAGGAGAAGAGTGGGCCAGTCCTCAGACACCCCGGGCCCACACACACACAGGATGGCTGGGGAGCTGAACCTGTGGGGGGCAGTCGTGAGCTGGTGGAGAGGACAAGCAGCTGCTATTTGATTTCCCACGTCCTGCAGGCTGCTTCACCTCTGTCCAGCCACCAGCACTTCCCCCAGGTCCTTCTGAAAAAGGGCCAAGCTCACTGGACTCTGGGCCCCTCCAGCACTGCTGTCATCGTTGTCCCTGCTAGAGACAGCCACAGCGGTGTGACCCCAGTGTCTTCTTTATGAGCCAAGGGGCCCCGAGGGGCACCAAAACCTCAGATCCCTCCCTTTCCTCCCGGAATCGCCAGGGATCGGCGGTCCCACAGGGGACAGAGCGGAAGCGGTGCTTACTTTCGTATAAAGCAGGGCACTGGGTCTTGGGGCTTCAGGCTGTTGAGCCACGTGCTGCAGACACCGCGGTGCAGGGGACCCTGGCCATCCGCAACGATAACACAAAGTGACCAACGTCCCCCACTGCCCATGCGCAAACTGTACCAGCTGCTCCACCCACACCACGGCCTCCTTGGACGCCCCCACTCAGGCACTCTCAGGACTCAATGAGCAGCTGTTTGTCCTCCTGGTTCTGAGCTCCACCCTCTGAGAGCGCAGAGCTGAGGAAGGTTGAAAGGGACTTAGAGAGGCTGCAAGCTGCTCCTTCTGCCAATGCGGAAACCGAGTCCCGGAGAGGAAAAGTGACTTGGACAAGGTCACTCAGGTCGTGGCGGAATCAGGCGGACAGCTCAGGTTCCCTGACTCCTACTCCAGTGCTCCTTCCAAAGACTTTCTCCAGGAACACCCCCAGCTCACCTCTGAGCTCCACTGACAGCAACATGAAGTGACCCCGCGGTGGCCACTGCTGTGTGCGCTCATGAGCATGGCCCTTGCTGGCAGCAACCCTGGGTGGTGGATGAGCTCCGCGCATTTCAGCCTGCTCTGGCGCCTCGCTTTCCTCCTCAGTGGCCCCTCCTGGGCTTGTAGAAACCCAGGAGGTCTCTCTGGATTCTGTTCCCCTTACAGTGGCCCAGCACTTGAAGGAGGCCTCCCACCAACTGCAGAGGTCCCCCTGGTTTTCCTCGGGATTGAATCTTGCTCTCACAGGACATGTCGGCCTCTCCTCTGCTGGTCTGGGTGGGTGTTCTCTAGCAGGGCAAACAGTCTCTGGCCAGTTTTTAGAAACCGTGTTTTTGCTTCCTAGAGGACAGATGACTCAGAAGTGTGGGCAGCTCCCAGCTTTGCCAACCCAGGCAACTCTCAGTTACAGAGGGCAGGGCGGGGGGCAGAGGCCAGTGGTGGAGCCGAGACCACCTGGACAAGACCACCTGGCCTCCCGCTCTGTGGCAGCATAAACCGGTCCCCTGCCACCCCGGCCCACTTCACTTCCCTCGGTGACCCTGACCTTTCCTTCTCGGCTTCTGCACAATGAGAATCATGTAATTATTTCTATGCCTATCTCTCCACTGCTGCCTCTAGATGCTCCCTGAGGGCAGGGCTGATGTCTGCTGTATTTCCCCACCCACCCCGGTACTGAGCATGGGGAGGTGTGAAATAAACCATCACTAAATGAGCTCAGTGAGGGAATGAACAATCAATGCAGAATCTCCCCTGTGTTCAGGCTGCACTATCAGGAAGACTGAGGACCACTGGCCTCCCACCAAGGGTTGGGTGCTCTCCACGTCTCATCTCATTAAATTGTTGCCAGAGTAGTGGGACAGTGGAGTGGTGAAGGCTTGGACTCAGCAGTTGGACTACCCAGGTCTGAATCTCAGCTCTCCACTTACTAACAGTGTGACTTTCTGTGCCACCTGTAAAATGCACGCAGTGCCTACCCCACATGGTAACTGATCATATACACACAGAAGGCTTGGTTTAGTGCCTGGTTCCTAGAGATCTCTCCCACACACTTCCTATTACCATAAACAACTCTGGGGTGTGGGTGTTGCCTCCCTCCTTGAACTGATGAGGGAACTGAAGCTGAGTTGATGAACACATGCCCAATAAGAGGAGGAGCACGAATGCTCCAGAGCCTCCTTCCTGGGCTCTCCTCGGGTGTGGGACATCACCACAGCCACAGTCAGGTGGATCTTTGTGGGCGTGTGATCCAGGGAGGAGCTCATGGAGTAGAACCTGGGCTTCAGAATGGGGAGCCGGGAGAGCAGGAAGCCAGTAGACACCCACAGAGATGGGAACTCCTCCAGCACCTCCAGGAACATGGGGCTATTGGTGAACTTCCACTTGCTGTACTCTGAGGGCAAGTGGAGGGTGTTGTGAGTGATTCAGGGAGCCTGCCCCGCTTTGGGGAAAAGGCTGACACAACCCAGTCTTCATTCATTCCTCCACTCAACAAACAAGTCCATGTGCCAGGCACTGTCCAGGGTGCTGAGACTACCAAACTAGAGAAGAAATAGTTCCTGTCCTGGAGAAACTCAGTCCAGTACATTTATCTAACTTATGTGACCTCCACGGTCGGCAACTCGTGGACAGGGGTCAAATTTTTGTTGCAATTTAATTTGGGGCAAGGCTTTGGAGCCAATCAGACCTGGGTTTAAACCTTGGCTAGGTGTCCTCACTGCTATGGAATCTCGTCCCAATTACTTATGCTTTGTGAAACAAGGATAGCATTGCCTGCCTTGTGGGGATGTTATGGGAATTAAATGAGAAAGTATGTGCCAAGTTAGTACATTGCAGCCACAAAATAATGGTGGTGGAGGTAGTTGGAATCGATATAATTAGCTATAATGATGATGATAATAATGACAGTCAGTGCCTTTTGCAGACTTGGAACCAGATGGTTACAGGAGAGTTAATGCATTCTCTCATTAACTTATTAATTCAGCTGTCCGTCTGTCACTCTGTCCATAATGCCCATTTATCCATTCATCCACACCATCCATCCCCCAATACATCTTAAGTGACAACTTTATTCCAGTTTTGGGGAAAGCAAAGATGGATAAGAACGGCTCCCCTTTCTAGCTAATATTCAAGGCAGTGCACTTGGGTTGCATCCTGCAGACACTTGGAAAAACCCAGTTCATTCAACATAGTTGTGTTGTGTTACATGGGACAGTGGATGATGCCTGGCTTCCCACCAGCCTTTGACAGGTCTCACTTTGGGAACCTGGGTGGATCCCTCTTGGGAGTTAAAGACCAGCTCTGGGCTCTGGCTCCCCACATGCTGGGACCCTCCACATATCCCCTGCCCACCAGCCCTGATCTTCACCTGGCACACAGCCTCCAGCCTGTGTCTCTCAGGCTCTTCTATGGCCACCTGGGCCAGCTTTTGGAGCAGCAGCTGGGCTGGGGGGGTGGTGATATCCAGGAAGTAGGTGAGGACTTGGCTGAGTGAGCAGCGGGGCAGCCTCTTGTCACTGAACCGGTAGCTGTCTGGACGGGGAAGGAAGATGTCAGGATGGAAAAGAGGCCCCATTCGGGATTCTCAGAAGGTAGCGAGGCCCCCAGGGCAGACACCCCCTGTTCTCCAGCTGCCTGGGAAAAGAGGCTCTGAAGTCCTGGCTCTATGAGCAAAAGGCAGGAAGGAGGTGGCGCACAGAGAAAGGATTGCCAGGAAAGGCTGAACACCAGCCCCCCAAGGGGCACTAAGTTGGCGTGGTCCTGATGAACTAACCATGTCCTTCCCTGGCCCAGACCTGAACTTTAGCAAGACACCCACTGGCGATCTACAGACTCACAATGACTAAATCCACCAAAGACTAATGGATACCTCACAGGCCAGTTGTTCACTCAGAGAAAAGCCCATGACTGCAGTCCCCTGGGTGCTGTACCAAGAGGTGCTGGGTGAGCAGAAGAGGAGCCCAAACGCAAGTCCCAGGGGGTAGCATGCAGGGCAGTCACAGCACAGACCCTGGGGCCAGAAGACACGGGTTCAAACCCTGGCTCCCCACTTTCGAGGTGACTGAAGCCTCTGGGCCTTGGGTTCCCTCCGTGTGAAACAGATCTGATACCAAACCTATCTTGCTGGGTTGGCATGAGCGCTGAATGAAATCGTGCACATAATAGTTGGTACTGTGGCCAGGTGTGGTAGCTCACACCTGTAATCCCAGCACTTTGGGAGGCTAAGGGGGGTGGATCACAAGGTCAGGCATTCAAGACCAGCCTGGTTGACATAGGAAACCCCGTCTCTACTAATAATACAAAAATTAGGTGGGTGTGGTGGTGGGCACCTATAATCCCAGCTACTCCGGAGGCTGAGGCAGGAGAATCGCTTGAACCTGGGAGGCAGAAGTTGCAGTGAGCCGAGATCATGCCACTGCACTCCAGCTTGGGTGACAGTGCAAGACTGTGTCCAAAAAAAGAGTTGGTGCTGTGCCTGGTAAACAGGTTCCCTAAATATTAGGGAAAAATATGAGCATGACGTTATTTCCATTCAACCCGGGTCCTGATGAACCACATCCATCACCCTGCAGTCACAAGGACATGTCTCCTCGTCCTCACTTTCTCCTGGATGGTGGGGGACACTGCCAGGCTCTGCCTCTCTGATCCTACTTTTTAAAAATTTTTTTGAGATGGAGTCTCTGTCACCCAAGCTGGAGTGCAGTGGGGCAATCTCAGCTCATTGCAACCTCCTCCTCCCAGATTCAAGTGATTCTTGTGCCTCAGCCTCCCAAGGGGCTGGGATTACAGGTGTGCACCACCATACCCAACTAATATATTTTTTATTTTTAGTAGAGATGGGGTTTTGCCCTGTTGGTCAGGCTGCTCTCAAACTCTTGACCTCAAGTGATCCACCAGTTTTGGCTTCTCAAAGTACTGGGAATACAGGCGTGAGTCACCACGCCTGGCTGATCCCACTTTCTGACTTTGGTCACTGCATCGAGGGAGATATACTGGCGGTGTCATTATCACTGGAGAAAGTAAGGCCAGGGAGCCATGCCTGTGGCTGGGACTGTTTCCACAGCTGCTTTCACATAAGATTTTGGCAGCCCACCCTCTTAGCAGGAAGGACAGGGATGGTTGTCACCTGCAGGCCCAGGCCTAGCCCCTCAGTCAGGTGGGGTGGCTGGAGGATGCCAGGCAGCACTGGCTCCCGGCCCAGGGCTCACTGCTCTCGTCCAGGGCCTCCAGGCGCACTGTCTGCGGGGGTGCGGGGCCGTCCACCACCTGCTCCAGGATGCCTTGGACCAGGGCCGGCTGGTTGCCTGGACAAACCCCAAGGTGCTTCCCTGGCAGGTAGTTCAGGCCTTGGCCCTCCTCATAAGAGAATTCCACCAGGATGGTGGTGTGGCTGGGAAAGGAAAAAGAAGCCTCAGCTGGGCCATGCACCCTGGCTCATACCTGTAATCCCAGCACTTTGGGAGGCCAAGGTGGGCAGATCACTTGAGGTCAGGAGTTCAAAACCAGACTGGCCAACACGGTGGAAGCCCTTCTCTACTAAAAATACAAAAATTAGCTGGGCGTGGGGGCGGGCACCTCTAATCCCAGCTACTCCAGAGGCTGAGACAGGAGAATGGCTTGAGCCCAGGAGGCAGAGGTTGCAGTGAGCCAAGATCACGCCACTGCACTCCAGCCTGGGTGACTGAGTGAGACTCCATCTCAAAAAATAAAAATAAAAAAAGAAGCTTCAGGTGATGTTGCAGAATTTTCTCCAGGGCTCCCTGATGGGCAGGCAAGATTCCCCAGGAAATGTGCCCTCCTTTCATTTTCCTGGCTGGTTTCACAAGCCTGGGCCACCACCCTGAGCTTGGGATGAGGGATCCCCACAGGCAGGGGTGCTTGAGAGGGCCCTGGGAGCTTCCCTCTGGGGAGGAGGGGGCCCACCCCTTCCCAGTAGCCCTCTGAGTCCCCCCAGTGCTCGGCCACAGCCTCTGCCTGGAGAAAGTATCCCCCTTGGAGATACATGGACATCAGAAGAAATCTTTCCTTGTCACCAGGACAAACCCTGTTCTTATTAGAACCAAGGCCAGTTTTCCTAATGCACGCGGGGAGGACCGCACAGATCAATGAAACCTGCAGATAATCCACAAGGCTCATTTCCTAGAGCTGGGAAATTTCCTTCCCTGCCAACACTTTTCCTGAAAGTTCTTCAGAATGAGTCAAACAGTTTAAGTCTGTCTTGCACTTTCCTTTTAGTGAAAGAGTTCAATGAGGAAAGAGAGGAAGTAGAGCAGATGCTTAGTGTCCAAGCTGGAAAAGTGGCCTGTGGTTAACCAAGAGTAGATGTAAAAGCACAGGTGGCCACGGGTTACCAGGTGAGTTGGTCCTACTGACAGTGTGGCTGCTAATGCCAGCAGAGGCTCCTCTCCTCTTCCTTCAAAGACTGATTTCTTCTGGCCTTTCATTCATTAAAATAAAATGGACAGAGCATCACCCGAGAAGCCCTGCACTTTCCCTTACCTGGATGTTGGACTCTGTAGGTTCTGCCGAGATTTGAGCCTCATGGTGAACACGTTCTTGGCGTGCATGCTGCCGAGGGCTGCGAAGGACACAGAGACGGTGAAATGGCAAAATGGCTCTGGAGTGTGGGTGGCAGAAGCCCCCACATGTCTGAGTCAGTGACACCTGGACACTACACTTGGGCCATGCTGCTGAGGTGGCTGTTGGGGTTTTCTTTACTTTCTTTTTATTCCACTGTTTCTGAATCACAAATAAAGATCCTTGGTCTCATACAGGGCAGCTGTGTTGCTTCCAGGTATTGGGAAATTCAATTTAGTTACCTAAAATGGAAAGTCCCAGGACATCTCCATGGCTCGGGATGCACACGAGAGTATCGTTGACATTGGGGATATCTTAAACATATAGAAACCTTCAGGACTACCTTAGTCAGGGCACAGGGCACAGCACCCCGGGGTGCAGAGTGGAGAGTTCACCACTACAGCCTGGAATCACCTCTGCGACGCCTTCTTCACGACCCTTGGCTGCCTTTGTGGCTGGAAGGCGGGGGCTCAGACCCCAACATGGCCACAGGCTAGCAACGTGCTTCACCTCCTTGAACTGCAATTTCTCCTTCTGTGCCTTTCTCCCAGGAGGAGTGTCCAGGCCCACTTAGTCCATGTGGGCCAGGAGCCCCGCACCATGCCTGGCACACAGTAGGCCCTCGGCAGATGCTGCCCCCTTCTCTCTCCACCACCCTCTTGGGGCTCCCTCCTGAAACAGCCTCCCTCAGTGCCTTGAGACTTGCACCCTAACAGGCTCTTGCATGCAGTGAGAGGGAGGCCCCCAGGCCAGCTGTCTCTGTTCAGAAGGAGACCCGGGGGTCTCCTTGACCGTGAGCTCAGGGCTCAGACTCCAACACAAACAAGCCCCGTGTGCTGCTGAGAAGCAGGTACCTTTGCTGAGGTCCAAAGGCTGTGAGTCCTGCACGAGCCTGTAGTGGTGTGGGTCCCAGGTCACACTGGAGGTGAAGAGCTTGGGGATCTGAATGTGCTGTTTGCCTCGGACATCAAACGTCTCACAGGCTGCCTAGAAGAAGGTGGAGCAGACTGGTGATAACAGTCAGCAGCAGCAGCATCCGCACCACCGGGGCTACCACTTTTTAGGCCCTTACCATGGACCAAACACTGAGCCGTGGGCTTCATGTAAGTTCTAAGCACACTTACCTGATAGGGTGACAGCAGGGACTCAAAGAGGTGCCTGGGCTTGGCACATAGTAGCTGTTGCTGCTATTATAAATATTGCTTTGTTTTTGTTTTGAGACAGGGTCTCACTGTGTCACCCAGGCTGGAGTACAGTGGTGCCATCATAACTCACTGAAGCCTCAGCCTCCCCGTGTTCACGCAATCCTTCCACCTCAGCCTCCTGAGTAGCTGAGACTACAGGTGTGCACCACCAAGCCCAGTCAACTTTCTGTATTTTCAGTAGACACTGGTTTTGCTATGTTGCCCAGGCTGGTTTCAAATTCTGGGACTCAAGTGATCTGCCCACCTCAGCCTCCCAAAGGGCTGGGATTACAGGCAGGCGCCACTGTGCTCCGCCATTATGAATGTCAATATTGACATCATCTTGTTGTATCCTCATGCCCACATTGGGAGAGGTCTGATTGTCCCCTTTTCGTGTTGTGGAACCACATGGAGGAGGCCCGGGCTTTGGAACCAAGCCTGCCCCGATGCACACTGTTGCTCCTAAGCACCACTGCTGAGTGATACACTGCATGAGTGACGAGTTACCTAAATTACTGGAGCCAACCATTGCAATAAAGAGCTGTGGAGCTACTGAGTGGATCCAAAGTGGACCCGCCACTGTGTGGTGCCTGTCCCCAGGCTCTCTATGGCCGAACAGACACAGTAGTGAAGAGGCGACCTAGGTAGTCAGTGGGGGAAAGGTGTTAAACTAGAAGCTCCCTAAGGGCAGGGGAGGATCTGTGCCTCCTCTTCCAGAGTGGTGTGCACAAGGTGGAGCTCTTCTGGGGGGCTGAGGGAGAGCAGCAGTGACCTGCACCCTTAGGCCCGTGGCCCTGGCCCATGTCTGGGACCACATCTACAGGACCAGGGGCAGAGGTCATGCACCCAGGATGCCCAGCACAGATGTCCTAGGCATGAATGCACCGTGTTATGTCCCTGCTGTGGAGCAGCTCTGGCTGGGAACCGACCTTGAAGGTTTGCACGGCCCTGCTGAGGAAGGCGTCCTCCTGCCCACTGAGCTCATCCTCTTCCCACGTCAGGGTGAGCTGAGAGGCCCCCAGGCAGGACAGCTTCTGGTTGAAGTCATAAGCAAAGGCGTAGAACTGAGGGTACCTGCTGGAGCCGAGGCCAAACACGGCATACCTGCCCGAGAACACACACAGAGACTCATGTCCCATGCAAGCAGCACCTGGCACCCAGCACCCAGCACCAACAGCCTGGAGGGCCAGCCCCAGACTCTCCCCCTCCAGCTGGAGCATGGAGCTGCAGCCCCTTCCAGTCCTCCCAACCCCCCAGCCTTGTCACCAACTCCTATGACCACCCCATGCTTGGCCTGAAGACCTGTGAGAGGGACTGGGTTTCTGTGGCTTGACCCGCGACACACTCCGAGGGCAAACCTCTGAGCCAGGGTCCCTCTGTGCCTGGTCAGCTCTGAGAAGACCCCGTGTCTACACCCAGTTCCTTCCCCTGAGTCAGATTTTGGGTCCTCAGGGCAGGGTGAGAAGGTATAGGAGGAGGAGGGAAAAAGCTTTACCTGAATTTGTTGGTGAGCTCTTTCAGCATGAAGAGGGATTTCTTCAGTTTCTAGAAACAGAGGAAATGACAGAGTTCTCAGTCCAGGATGAAAAAAAAAACCACTATTTTTTCCTTTCCTCTGGAAACCTGGCCACAGCTGGCAGGAGAAGGTTCACGGCCCACAGTGGAAGTTGGTTTACGTGTGGGGCCACCTGGCCAAGGACCTGGTTGTCAGCTGACAAGTTTAGCCTGTCTCTCACTTCAGCTAAACTGTAGCAACTCGTGTGGGCCCTGCCCCTTGGTGGGAGACCCAGAACAGCCTGGCCTCCTCCCATCCAGCCCTGGCAGAGGGGGCCTGCCTTATAGCAGGGCATCTCCAGAGGGCCTCCTAATGGGCCGTGATTCTGTCTTCTGGTTTGGAACCTGGTAGAAGCAACAGCAATTGGTCCTATAGTCTCTGAAATCAGGCTGGCTCTCCAGGAACCCAAGACGATCCCAGGAGGTGTGTGACCCAGCAGAACTAGCGTCAAATCCCATGGTGAGTATTGACTCCCTTTTCATAATTTATTTTTTAGTTCTTCCCCTTCAATTACATTTTCATTTTTCTGAGCACTGGAGAGACAGTCTCGAATTGGTGCTAGTAGACCTTTAATACCTCTCTCATTGCCTATCACTCTTTTTAAAAAACAAAGATAGAGCAGGCTTTGGTCAGGGAATAGTATCTAGCTACTATTCATTAACTTCATTTTGTTTTTATTGAATTTGTGTTTTGCTGCTTTCTATTTGTGAGAGTGATACAAGTTTCCTTTAAACGTGAATTTGTAAATACAAACAGGTAGGTCATTCACAGAAATATATTAAATATATCATAGGAAAGGTGGCACTCCCATATGGCAATAATTATGTTGGAGGCCAGCAAATGACCTGAGTGACCCAGAAGGCCCGAGCACTGACTTCCAAATGCCCTCTGTAGGACATGCTGCATTCCCCAGACCCTTTCCTTGGTCCTCCCACACCCTACCATCCCCTAGACCAATCAAACCTCAGGCCACCCACCTCTCCATTGCTGGCGCAGTCTCCATTCCCAGATGTGCTGGTCACCACCAACAACAGCTGTGCCTCGTCCAGGCAGCTCCTCCAGCCTGTACTTGTCCATGCAGAGAACCTGGACGGTACCCAGGTGGACATCAGCCCTCAGCTCCCAGTAGAAGCTCTGGCCTTCCTCCCACACCTCTCCCAGGCCAGGGCTCCTGTGCTCATCTGTCTCTTCCAGGGCCTGGCACAGGTGTGGCATGGAGGAGGTGACTGAACGGATTTGAACACATCATCCTCGATTCTCCTTCCCTGCTCAAGCCCTGAAACTAACCCATCAGGAAGGCCTGGATGCTCTGCCTCCAAAACACTGCCTATCCTATGTCTAAACTCCTCGCATCACGTCCACTGCTATTTGCAATTGTGTGTGTGTGGAAATATTTCCACAGAATTGGAATGAGCAGGTCACAGCTGCGCCTGGAGGGAATGGCCGGGGAAATGTGCCCTCGCTTTGCTCCTCTATCCAGGCACACCCAGCTGAGGATGGGGGACCTGCCACCACTCTCCTGGCAGTTCCAGATTCTTGGGAGCTGGCAGGGGAGCACCCAAGAGTGTTTTCAGCGACCTAGCTGAACTGGTCATCAGTCAGTCCCACCTTGGCCTAGGCCTCCACGTGGCATAGATCACAGCTCATCCCTTCGTGGCATTACACTGGCCTGTGCCCTGTCCTCAGGGTCACATCCATCTCCCAGAAGCTGTGCGACCCAGGAAAACCCATCAAACTGTCTAAGAGTCAGGTTCCTCCTCTGTGCATTGATAATGACTTTGATACCTGGTTTGCAGGGTGCTGGGAGGGTAGAGTGAGGTGTACGCTGGAGAGCTCCTTGAGGGCAAGGCCTGGCTCTGCGTCACTCACTGTCAGATTTAGAGCCCGGGGTTGGCCCAGCATGTGGCCACCATTCCCTAAGAATTGGATTTGCTTCATCAGTGCTGAAGGCAGGGGATAGAGCTTAGACAGACCCGCTGTGTCCTGTCTTCTTTATCTGCAGCTTACACATTCTTGCCCCTTTCACATGCACCCTGCAGAGCAGGTGTTCACTGAGCTTCCACAAAATTCAGCTAGAGCAGCTGATGGATATTGAGGCCTGAGGTCACCTGCCTGGGTCTCTGGAGTCCTCAGGGTCTCCGTGTGGCCCCCGTGGTCTGACACTGAGGACACACCTGTAGTTTGCTGATCCCAGAGGGAGGGGTATGTGCCACCTGGGGTGGGGAAGATGTTGGGGCATGGCAGGTGGCTCCTGGGACTGCCCCCCAGGGTTCAGACAGGCTAGGGTTTTTTTGCCACACACCCTCATCCAGGGCTGTTGGACCTGGGATACAGCCCCCAGTCAGAACTAAGGTGGGAGGGGCCTTGGCTGTCACCCAGCTCCCTTGCCACTTTACATGGGGACCTGTCTCCACAGTGGGTGACTGGGCCCGGACGTGGGTCACCCTCAGCCCTCCTGGGCTGCTCAGTCCATGCCAGGACTGACCATTCCCACACCTGGCTGAACTCTTGGCTCTGGCTCTGGGCCCGGGGTCCCGCCTGTGCCCTCTCCCTGAATGCTCTGGGGGTCAGAGACACTGATTCCCGTGTCTCCCTGGCTCAAGACTTGTTGTCCTGGCACTCTTGGGGGGATCTGCAGGAGTGAGGGGCCTCTGCTGCTCTCTGAGGCTGTCAGTGTTCACAGGGAGGGGTGGGGGCTCCCACAAATGGGTCTGGCTCCTCCAGTGCCTTTGAGGGCCCTGTGAGTGGGAGAGTGGGCTACCGTGGAAAGTGGGAGGGGGCTTGTCGGAGGGTCTTGCCCACATCCCCCTCCTGCGTGCACAGCACGTCCAGTACACTGAGCGCCTGCCCTGAGGACTGGTGGGTCTACTGTACATTCTTAGAGTCCGGGAGGAAGAGGAGGAAGAAAAGGTAGTAGGGTTGGGGGTCCTGGGCACTCCCTCACTATTGACTGCCCCAGAGGGTAATTCGGGTGGGGACCTGGTACTGGATTCCACCTGGGAGTGGCAGGTCCCCATGCTTCCTTGTTAGTTTCTTCATAGAGGTCCGAAGGTGTTTCAGAACAGGATCATCGTCCAGGGCCCAGGTATGAAATAACTGGTCCCGAAAACCTGCCCACCGGCCAGACCTGGACGTCTTCATGAGGTGCTGTAGAGACTGGGTAGGCATCAGGCCAGAAGAGTTCCCTGGGAGAGGTCAGAACCCACAACCCATGGCCACTTCGGTCTCCCACTGGGCAGTGCCGGATCCTTTCGTGGCCACTCCAGGGGTCCAGATATATACAGAAGGCTGTGGCTAGGGGGGTAGCCTGGGCAAAAAAATGTTCACCACACTCCCGACTTTCATCTGCGTCATGTAGGGAATGGGCTTGGTGTCATTGTGCACTGCCCAACCCTCCCGGACAGACCTCCTTCTGGGCCAGAACAGAGGATCACGAGGACAGTGTGAGGAAGCTGCCCTCGGGACAGTCAGGGTCTGACTCCAGTGCTCCCCAGGCCCCACTGGCCACACGTGGACTTACTCCTCTGAACCTTAAAGGCAATGCTTGTTATCGCCATCAACACCTGTTCCCCTTCCAGCAAATACATGTCCCACAGGTGCAGGGTGAGCCCAAGAGAGATCTGTGGGGACAGCAGGCATGGGAGGACCTGGCCCTTTCAGGTTGCGGCTGGTGACTCGAGCTGCGCCCATTGGGGCTTCAGTCCCCAGAGTCAGTGACCTTCCCCATGAGGGTCACCTGACCCCTCCAGGACACTGGGTCAGACAAGGTCTTGCAGCTCCTCATGGCAGGCACTCATTTCAGTGGGGATGTGGCTTCTGGAGAGAGGGGCTTGCCCAGGGCTTGATGCTTCCCTGAGACCTCCTAAGTCAGGTCCTGGCCCAGTCCACCTATGAGCCACTACACCTGGCTTGGGTTTTTAAGATTAAATATATGACTTCAGCCAGGCGTGGTGGCTCACGCCTATAATCCCAACACTTTGGGAGGCTGAGGCAGGCAGATCACGAGGTCAGGAGACTGAGACTATCCTGCCCAACATGGTGAAACCCCGTCTCTACTAAAATACAAAAAATTAGCTGGGCGTGCTGGCACACGCCTGTAGTCCCAACTACTCAGGAGGCTGAGGCAGGGGAATTGCTTGAACCTGGGAGGCAGAGATTGCAGTGAGCCGAGATTGTGGCACGGCACTCCAGCTTAGCGACAGAGCAAGATTCTGTCTAAAAAAAAAAAAAGAAAAAGAAAAAAGATTAAATATATGACTTCAAAAGAAAGTTAGTGCTTGTAGTGGACACTCTCATGTCTCCTGGAAATTGAATTCACTTGTCCTCCATCTGGGTATATGGGTGGACAATTTGGAGAGGTGCTAAGTGAGGATATTCTCTGTCATATGCACCTTTCTCACCAGTTTCTCAGATCCCCTTCTGCTGTAGTTTATTCAATACTCTGCCAAAATGGAATAATCACAGAAAAGTCCTCATTACTCATTAGTGTGAAGTTTTAACCCCATCCATCTATGGACCACTAGATATGTGAAAACCATAAAAAAAAAAGCAACAACTAAAATGTTTTCATTTATTTCCCCTTACTTCAATGAGTATTCAAACTAACTCTTCAGAAATAAGTTAGCTATAGCCAGACGCAGACACTCATGCCTGTAATCCTAGCACTTTGGGAGTTGGAGTTTGGTGAATTGCCTGAGCTCAGGGGTTCGAGACCAGCCTGGGCAAAAAACCCCGTCTCCACTAAAAATACAAAAAAATTGTATTAGTGGCACAGGCCTGTGGTCCCAGCTACTCGGGAGGCTGAGGCAGGACCTCCTGAGGCAGGAGGGTCAGAGGTTTTAGTGAACCAAGATCATGCCACTGCACTCAGTCTGGGTGACAGAGCAAGACCTGTCTTCAAAAAAAAAAAAAAAAAAAAAAAAAAAAAGAAAGAAAGAAAGAAAGAAGTTAACTAGTAGGGGGAATATCCTGTGGTAACATCTGTACTTATCAAAAGATAAAAAAGAAAAAGACAAGAAAAACGCTGTCTCTACTAATAATTTAAAAATTAGCTGGACATGCTGGCACACACCTGTAATCCCAGCTACCTGAGAGGCTGAGTCACAAGAATCCCTTAAACCTAGAAGGTTGAGGTTACAGTGAGCTGAGATCGTGCCAATGCACTCCAGCCTGGGTGACAGAGAAGGGTTCTGTCTCAACAACAACAAAAATTACTAGCATGTCAAATAAATTGCATAGATTGCATTGCTTTGGGCTTGCCTTTATTTAGCAAGTAAAGAGAATGAGGAATGTTCTTTCTATGCATTTCCCATGTTCTTTGTGCTTCATGAACTAATACTTCTGTTACTCCTTTAAGGAAAAACATTTCCTAAGAAATCAGCAGATCACAGGAGGGTCAGAGGTTTTAGTGAAACGAGATCATGCCACTGCACTCAGTCTGGCTGACAGAGCAAGACCTGCAACTGGCTTTGTAGAATTACTTCAGCCTAACCCTCTTTTTAAATAAGAAACCTAAGGCCATGAGGATCAGGATTGGATGTGTATTCTAAAGCATCTTGTTTGATGCCTAGGTTGGAAGAATATCACTATGAGTCAACTAAGCGATAACTAGAATATTATTTATTCCAGAAAGTTTTCTCTTATTTTAACTCTTTAGTTTCAGAACCTCAAGGTCTGTGATTCATTACCCATCTATAAGATGAATTAAATTTAACTAAATGCTAGTATTGTGAAGAATTAGTTTTTTTCCATTTCTGTTTACTTTTATACTATCCTGATAAACATATGAATATAATGAGTATGGAATAACCAGAAGTAGAGATTGCTCTTGCCTTCATTCATTCATTTGACAAATATTTAATGAGCATCTACTATGTACTGGGCTCTGTACTAGATGCTAAGCATATATGTGTAAATAAGACAGAGGCAGTTTTTTCTCCCCTCATGGAGCTTGAATTCTATTGGCCTATTGTTCTTTCTCATATATTTGGGAAGGGAAAATTTATATTAGTAGTCTACAGAGCATCTATTTAATCTTTTTTTTTTTTTTTTTTGCCACACCCAGGCACTGTCACAAGGCAGGACAAAGTCTTCAGTAAAATTGGAGAGCATAGTCATTGCCTGGGCATTTATCTGTGTCCAGTATAACTCAGGTCTGTATTGAGCTGCTCGTATGCTAATACATTCCACCTGATGAAGGTTCGTGGTGTTTCAGAAAAGGCAAAAGAAACGCTCTGGACAGGCAGGTTCAGAACCTGTCAAACACAAATTTCACTTGTAAAAATAGATTCCTGACTATTCAGATTAGAAAAGGCAATTTGGCAATTTAATACAATTTTACCAAACAAAAAGATGATTGCATATTATAAGTGGGAATGTAGAAGATTAGTACCAAAGCATGTAGGACATGGCTGTATATGTTGGATTTAAAGCCAGGTCCTGAGTATTCAGTAGCTTGTTAGCCAATCTATGGATTTTTTTTTTTTTTTTTTTTTTTTGAGGGATTCTCACTCTGTTGCCCAGACTGGAGTACAGTGGTGTGATCTCGGCTCGTGACAACCTCCACCTCCTGGGGTTCAAGCGATTCTTCTGCCTCAGCCTCCCGAGTAGCTGGGACTACAGGCATGGGCCACCATGACTGGCTAATTTTTGTGTTTTTAGTAGAGATGGGCTTTCACCATATTGGCCATGCTGGTCTTGAACTCCTGACCTTGTGATCTGCCCGCCTCAGCCTCCCAATGTGCTGGGATTACAGGCATGAGCCACCGCACCCGGCCAATCTGTGGATCATTTAAAACTCAATTTTATTTCCTCTTGGTAACAGTCAAGGAAAGAAGAGAGAACTTAATTTTGAAAATGAAGGAAACATAATTCCTTTGGGGTGAAAATTTAAAAGGTTGTTTCTCACAGACCCTATAACATAATCCATAATTCCTTTTATGGTACCTATTAATTACCTTATTATTTTAAGTATGTTTTAAAGGACTCTATTTGAGTAATGGGTTTCCTTTAACTGAACTTCTTTTTAGTTCTGATCTAACACCCCTTTTAAATGGATCAAGCCAAGACAGAACTGAACAACTTTTGGCAAGGGTAAAAGATTTCTGTTAAATGGCTATTTTGCAAATAACTGTGTACTTCTTAGATAGGATCCTGGATTATATTAAGACAGACATGTTTAATGAGATTACCCATTCCATTCAAGATGTGTGCCTCTCCAGGCCACCTGAATTTTGATGACAGCCATTCTCAGGTCATGTGGTGTTATTTTGGTCTTTATGGATTATGTGGGTGAAATGTTGAATTCTTACTTGCCTTCTTTTTTTTTTTTTTTGAGGTGGAATCTTGTTCTGTCACCCTAGCTGGGATGCAGTGGCACGATCTCAGCTCACTGCAACCTCCACCTCCCAAGTTCAAGCGATTTTCCTGCCTCAGTCTCCCAAGTAGCTGGGATTACAGGCACCTGCCACCATGCCCAGCTTATGATTATATTTTTAGTAGAGATGGGGTTTCACCATGTTAGCCAGGCTGGTCTTGCACTCCTGACCTCAGATGATCGGCTGGCCTCAGCCTCCCACTTACTTGCTACCTTGTTTGTTTTTTGTTTTGTTTTTTGTTTTGTTTTGTTTTGCTGTCAACCAAAAGGGCATATAGGCAGAAAATTTGCTTGTAGCTGTTTATAGCACTTTGTAAAATATTTTGATTTTTTTCCCTTTCTAGCTTATGAGGTAAATAATAAAATGGCAGTATGTATCAACAGTGCAGATATCCTCTCTTTGAATGCGGCCCTGATGCATACATTATAGACATATTGCAGGTAATATACTGGACTCGAGACTTTTTTGTTATCACAGGAGTTTTTGTTTTGTTTTGTTTTTTAATTCCTGTATAGGATATGTGCACATGTATTTAAAAGGACAAAGAGAAAAATCTGAGAAATAAATGCCATGCTATAGGGACTTGTTTTACTTTTTTGTTTTTTATTTTTATTTTTTGTCAGCATTATAAAATTCTGAAAATATCTAATAGCTCATTCTTTTTCCTGGTGAAATTGAGTAATAGTCATCACTGGGTAACATACTTCCATTCTGTGAGATCTAGCTAGCTAGCTGTAACAGTGAAATAGCCAATGGTCATGTATAGAGAGTAACATTGTGGGTTAGAGTGTACTTTCATCTGGCTTTGAAGATAATATGGAGGGGGAATGATTTACTATAATTGCTATATTGTTTGAGAAAACATTAAATGAGTATGCACCAATAAAACTAAATAAACTCTTAAAGATTTATATGGAGGGTATGTTAAAAATATAGTAGTACAGGCCGGGTACGGTGGCTCACACCTGTAATCCCAGCACTTTGGGAGACCGAGGAGGGCAGATCACGAGGTCAGGAGATAGAGACCATGCTGGCTAACACAGTGAAACCCCGTCTCTACTAAAATACACACACACACACACACAAATTAGTCAGGTATGGTGGTGGGCACCTGTAGTCCCAGCTACTTGGGTGGCTGAGGTAGGAGAATGGCAAGAGCCATTGCACTCCAGCCTGGGTGACAGACCAAGACTCCATTCCCCCTCCCGCCA